TTAAGGTAAAGACCTTCTATTCCAATTTTCTGTAGGGTTTTTATCATGAATGGGTGCTGGATTTTGTCGAATGCTTTTTCTGCGTCTATTGAGATGATCATATGGTTTTTGACCTTGACTCTGTTATTATAGTGCATTACATTTATTGATTTATAAATGTTGAACCATCCTTGCATCCCTGGGATAAATCCGACTTGGTCAGTAAACTCTAGACTTTTAAAAAGCAAAATCACTAAAATTTAAACCAGCAGATTACACACAGACAGCCAAGTGGAGAATTAATGAGCTGAACAGCCAGGACAGATCTCTGAGAACGCAGCAGACACATAAAATAAGCAAGAGCATCAAGGAGGTAGGGAGCATCTCCCAGGAAGGCAGAGAGCAGAGTCTGGCGGAGCCACCAAGCAAGAGGCCACGAAGACAGCGTGGCTCCCCCATACCCCAGGAAGCCACCCAGAAATGCTGTGGGGGAAATGCAGAACATGAACGATGACCAGGAGCTCCCAAAAGAGAGATAAAGACACCAGTCTCACAACAGACAGATTCGAGACTTCTCAGCAAGGTAAAATGCTAAGAATAATGGAATTGTATCTTCAAGGGCTGAAGGACAGAGCATTTCCCAGCACTGTGGCCAAGCGGGGGCCACCAAGAGCTGCACAAGAGTCCCCAGATGACTCAGTCATACAAGGAAGACAACCCATAAAGGGGACTAAGACGTAATGATAAAGAAAACAACACTGGGCAGCAAAAGCACTGGCGTAAGTGAGAAGAAGCAGATTACAAATCCAAACAAAAGCAAAAGATGGCACGGGAAATAATGCAAAGTTCAAGCAGTCATCAGGCAATAAAGCAACAGCTGAGCACTCTGCTCTAGTGCTCAGCAAGAAGGGAGCTCAGTGTTTTAAGAATAATCCCCCAATCCACAGGGGGATTCTCTAAAATCCATTTCGATAGGCAAATAAGGATGACACAGGTGATAGGCATGGTAAACAGAAGCACAGCACAGACAGTGAAAATATCGCCACAGGGCCAGGGATTTAGCTCAGTGGTTCCGGCGCCTGCCTCGAAAGCACAAGGTCCGGCGTTCGATCCCCGCTACCAAAAAAGCAAACAGTTAGGACCAGGGATTTGTGCTTGCAGGGCAGGTGGCGGAACCACTGAGTTAAATCCCTGGCCCTGGTAATGGATAATTTTGCAGGAAAACAAAAGTTACCAAAGTTAGCAATGAAGAAACAAAAAACTAAGTAAAGCCATAATTCTTAAAGAATTGCCTGTGGTCCTCACAGCCTGCTCATGAGCCCTGAGGTGCCAGGTCCTGGCCCCAGGAGAGCTATGCAGGGGACTGAAGCACATGTCCTGTGAGCCTGTCACCAAACCAGACCAGGGAGATGCAGAAACATGCCAGGGTGATCACAATATACAGTGCGTTAAACAAAACACATCCACTACACATTGCCATAAGCCCCCCCACCAATACGCCATTTCAAACATATTTATCCCATTGTTCTTTCTGAAGTCGTTCTAGAAATCCTCTTTCCTGAGTGTCTTTACATGGTGTGGTCAAAAATGCAATGCATGCTTCTGCCAAGTGCCATCCAAAGGAAAGGCAGGCTCATAAAAAAACATGATGGCATGTCCTCACCCCCCTTACTCACAGGACCTGGCACTGTGTGACTTGTGGCTCTTTCCCAAAGTCAAAATGACCTTGAAAGGGAAACATTTTGAACTGATTCAGGAGATGGAGGTAGCCAGGACAGCACAACTGAAGACTTCCAGAAGTGCTGTCGAAAACGGCCAGAGCGATGGGACAAGCGTGTTCAGAATGAGAGGGAGGATTCTGAAGGGAATTACTGTAATGGCAATGTGTCTTTATTGTAATACATCAAAGAGTCTTTAAAACATTCACCATGCTTTTGGTCATACCTCACAGACTTGTGGACTAATTTCACCTTTGATTTCAGGTGGTACACTCCCAGTGAAAACGCCAGCGGCACACATCACCACAGCAAAGGGAAACACAAGTCATTCAAAGCTGTGAGGAGGTGTCAACTTGTGCCTACTGGGAAGGCTGTTCTCAAAACCATGGGGGAGCCCTGGGCTCAGATTTGGGACCGCAGAAGAGCAAAGCCACGTGGGAAGCTGTGTGGAAGTGTCTCAACAACTACACCTACAGCCAGTGGGCATGGTGGCACAGCCAGTAATCCCAGCACTCCGGGAGGCAGGGGGACTGCAAATTCAAGCCCAGCCTGGGCACCTCAGGGAATTAATGAGACCCTGTCTCAAACTAAAAAATAAGAAAAGGCTGGGGATATGGGTGAGTGTGAGTCCCCAGCATGGGAGGAGGAGGACACACAACTGCTGTAGGGTGTGGCAGTCCCACTCCTGGACACATCTGAGGGGATGACATCAGAATGAGGACTGACAACTGCACCGCCAAGTTCACTGCAGCCCCACTCACAACCACCCAGACATGAAACCAACCCTGGTGCCCATCAGTGAATGGACAGGTAAAGAAAACGTGGCACACATGGACAACCAACAGTAGTGAGCTACACAGTGAAGACCTGCCCTCGGCAACACCACAGTGAGCCTGGAGGGGCCGTGTCAGATAAACACGTAAGCCAGGTGCAGAAAGACAAGTGCCACACAGCTTCACCGTGATGTGGAAGCTAAGAAGTCGGGGTAGACTGGTAGGAACCAGGGCCAGAGCAGGGAATAAGGTCTACTGAGGGAGCCACTGCCCTCTGGTGATAGCAATACTAACATCATATCCTCAGAAACTGCAGAAAGGGCGGGTGTTGTGTTATCCCTACAAGTTGCAATTCACATTAAATGTGGTGCACAAGAGACACGTGGAATTTCATCTGCTGATCAGATGATCACAGCTTTCCATACAGAGAAGTCAACAGTCACCAAGAGCCTCATCCAGGAACACAGGACTCCCAGGGACAGTCCTGGGAATATGACAACCCCAGATGCAGAGCATTAAGGGAAATTCCATGGTCATTTGCATGCATGCTATTAAAAAGAAACACGGAGGACCGGGGATTTAGCTCAGTGGTTCCTCCAGCTGCCTCGAAAGTGCAAGGTCCCGAGTTCAATCACCGGTACCAAAAAAAAAAAGAAAGAAAGAAACAGAGACACAGCGATCATGAGCCCAGGTGTGGGTTCCAGGTAACTGGTACATTCTGCATAGTTCTGTTTTGGGAGTGATTCATTATTTTAAAAAGGAAAAGGCAAAAAAACCTAAATGCTATGAGCCTGCATGAGGGCTGGAGGCTAGCCCTAATGACGAATGCTCTGCAAACTCAGTGAAAGTGGGCAGCTGACGAAGGGAAGGCCTGGCTCTTCCTGTTGGAGGAAGCTGGGTCCAGCCCAGACCACCCACACACAGGCATCAGGATGGAAGGTTCCAGTCTTAAAGCACCTCCACCTCTGGGAGCAGGAGGACAGTTGGGTATGATTCCACCACTGAGCACTTCCTCAGTCCCAGAATTAGGGCTGTCGTGGCTCAAGGCAGGGAAAGCGTCCCTCAAAAGGCATTGTACCCACACTGGTCCCGTCCCAACTCCTACCAAGTCCCCAAGCACAGAAACTCTGCAGGACACAGACACCAACCACCCTGTGCCTATGTTGGCCCGCCCCATCTGCCATCATCCTGTGTCACTGTCTTTCAATGCCAATGCTGCCTCTGGGGCTGGTTTCTGCAGAGCCCTGTCCCATCCTGCTGGGAGGTAGCACCAATGGGAGGCAGTACCAAGGGTTGCCCATGCAGCCCGGGACCCCAGAGGCCATGACTCCCACTCAGTGTGTTAGCATTCAATATCATTCCGGCTCCTGACACCGACAGGTGCCTGGGAGCGGGAATCTGGGTGGGAGGTGTCCCGAACTGGACTCCATCTGTCAGTGGCGAGGACAGCAGGCCCCAGCCCAGTGCCCGCCGGAGGCCTCCTCTCTGAGGGCCCTTCAAGCCTACTTTGGAAGGGGTCAGTGACACCACCGCAGGAAGCCAGAACACATCTACCAACTGATCCCAACCTCTCCCTCCCTCCCCAGCAGGCACCTTCACCAGCCTCAGTGTCATCTGTGGTATGGCTCTTGGATGGGCGGCCTCACTGAGAACTGCACACTCATGTATGTGCACAGAACCATGCGACCGGGGCTTTGTGGGACTTTTCAGCAGCCTCATGAAGCTCCAAGACCCTGCACAAGTCGATGTGTGCAGCTCACAGCCACCCACGCTGCGTTGTCTCCAGTGTAAACACTTGGCGCTGCTGTCCCTACAAGGCACCCAGGGAGGGCAATTCCCTCAGTGTCCACACAGCGGGCACCTCTGCTAGATAATCCAGACAGTCCCACCAGACACCCCTGGCAGCAGAGGGTAGAAAGGCCCTTTCCATGGGGACAGGCACTGGGGAGAGCGATACTCTGCCCCAGAGCGGGGGCCTGCACTTTCCTTGGGGGCAAGGGGCAGGCCACTTCAATGTGGCCACCAGGGAGAGGGCCCGGGGAAGGCTCTCCAACGACCTTGCCCACATGGCCCTACGGATGCTCTTCTAGGGAAATTTCCCACTCAGAACTTGGGGGGTGGGGAGAGAAGAGGGAAGTGGACTCAAGAGACAGCAGCATGGGGTGAGGTTGAGGGCTGACCCCAAGGCAGCTGGAGGCCTCTGGGGACTGGGCTCCCTGGGAAGCCGGAACTCACTAAGAGGCAGAACAATAAGCTGGTCATACTTACAGTTGCGCCTGCTTCTCTGCTAATTCTTTGGTTTTCTCCTACAATTACAAAGGAAAAAAAAATATGAGAAAACAGAAGAACATATACAGGGATACATTCAGATATACATTATTCCATCTGTATGAGAGATGCAGCACTCTGTCCACACAGCCCAAGCTCTGCAGTGCTTTTTATCCTAAACTATGTTGGAAAGCACATTTTCCAGGGACTTAGATATCTTCCCATCCATTCCTGACTGTGACCTGAGCATTTCCTCCAACAGAAGCAGCTCACAGCCCTCTGGCTCACAGGACAACCACCCATTAAAAATCAGCAGGGACAGGCAAACACTTCTCAAACACTATGATGAACAGGCTGCTGTCATTCTCCATTGTTACACTTAATATTTACATATTGAAACACCCATGCTAATAACACCCAGTAGTATATATGCTCGGATATTTACATATCTATTTAAACTTCTCAACAAGGACTCGGGCTTAGCCAATGTGTTTTGTGCTGTCACCCCAATCAAGAAACTGTGCTTGCTTTAGTAGCAGCCCAGAGTCTGCTGAGTGGAACCTCAGTGCCTGCTGTTCTCCTGCCTTGTTCCTCTAAGATGCTGCACACATAGCCCTGTCTGCTGGGCAGATACAAGGAGACAGAGGAATGGGGATCAGAGCCGTCCATGCTCAGGAAGCAAAGGGAGCAAGTGAACTTCACAGGGGCCCACAGTGGGCAGCACTTTGGGGCGCAGGGAGACCTTGACTCAGACACCTGTGTCTACAAGCTGAGGGCTCAAATAAGCAGCTCCCATCAGGCAGCCTCGGTTTCCAGGCCAGTGACACAGGGCAGGGGCCTGGGCGTGCAGCAGAAGCAGACAGGATCAGAACCAGATGAAATCTGCTCCTCCACCTGCTGTCACACCCCTCGGCAAGTGACTTGTGTCCTCCTGGCCTTGGCTTCCCAGCTGTTACATGGGGCATGTCATCCACCCCATCAGGGTGGCGGGGAGAATTAATTAGACCCTAGATCATCTAGTTCATTAGTCAGTGCCAGGCACAGGATATACCCAGGAAATGGAGATCATGATGTCAAAATTCACAATTTAAAAAAAAAAAATTCAGGGCCTGAGATTTAGCTCATTGGTACTAAGCCTGTCTCGAAAGTGCAAGGTCCTGAGTTCAATCCCCGCTACCAAAAAAAAAAAATCACAACTTTTAACCATCAGTGCTTGGTCACAGCAGCCACAAAGCAGGCAGTTCCCATGCTGTAGACCATCCAGGCCCCAAGCAAGTGACTGGACAGTGGCTACACTGTGGGGGACCCCGTATCAAATACTGAGCTGGGAACCCCATAAGACACGGCTCAGATACCCCTAATGCCTATGATCACCCACATGAAACTTTGGATGGGACAGCCAGTCTAGCTTTTGTTTTTAAAAAAAGTTTCACACATTTCAAACATGGTTTTAATATAAGAAATTGATCAGGTTCCTATAAGGGTCTTCCTTGCCACCCACACCCATGATGAGTACAACCAAAATCAGCGAAGGCTCTGAGTGACACTGAGCCACCCTTGGGGTCCTGGGAGTCGAGCTCCCAAGCGGGCAAGAGCTGGCTGAGGCCAGGCTCCCCAGGCCCTGCTCCAGCACCCGCCCACCCCAACAGGGCGGCACTGCCGCGTGACTCCTCCTGTGGCAGAGCCTGGGAGCATCTGTGTGTCTGGGGCAGGGACTAGCCTCTCGTGGGTGGAAGCCAGAGATTCTGTTCACTGCCCCACACTGTCTGGACAGCTGCCCCAGGGAGGAATTCTATGCCCACAGGTCCATGGCGCCCAGGCCAAGGGACCCTGGCTGGGTGCAGATTATGTCACTGAACAAAGCCACCGGTTCCTGCACCCTCACCACCAGCTGACAGGGCCCATAATGGGGACAGCTCGGCAGCAGAAAACACAAGATGCCATGCTGTAAATAACAGCCTGGGAGGGCCAGGGATTTAGCTCAACAGTGCTGTGTTTCCCTCGAAAGCACAAGGTCCTGAGTTTGATACCCAGTATCGAAAAACAAAGGCCTGGGAGAGCTCTCCGAAGTGCCCAGCTCCAGGACACCTCACTGGGGCATGTGGAGGCATCAGGCCGAGTGGGACTGGGGTAGGGATCAGGCCAGAGTGCAGAAGTGACGGGAACCCCTCAGGGCCAGACCTCCCTGAAGGCAGCCTGCAATGTCAACTTACTGCTGCTGTCAGCCAGGAGGTGGACACATGGGAAAGGCTGGCCCTGCACCCACCCTGGCACCACTGAGAGGGCACTGAGAGGAGCTGGGTCTCATGCCAAGGGCAAGCAGGCAGAGCTGGCAGACCTGCTGCACGGGCCAACCCAGCTGCATCACTCACCCAGACTGTGTCACGGATCCTCCTGGCAACCTTGAGCAGCAGCCGCCCGAAGGTGCCCTGCTCAAAGTGTGTGGCCGAGTGCTGGATGCAGAGGCATAGGAGGAAGGCGGGTGTCAGCTTGTAGTCGTCACTCCCTGGCTCTATCAGTGTCATGATCCTCTGCAGCAGCGTGTCTTCCACATCAGGCTCGAACTCCAGGAGCAGCTGCCGCCGCCTAGGCACATCAACCAGCGAGCAAGAGGCACCATCATGGGCCCGGAGCGCAGCACCACATGTCCTGCAGCTCTGTGGTGGCCGCAGGTGGGCCAGGGCCCCAGCCGGCAACAGTTGGGCCTGTGCAGGGTCCTTGAAGAGCAGCAGGTAGTAGAGGCCCAGGGAGAGCAGGTCACCGTGCTGCAGCACCACAGGGCCCCGGCCCACTGCAGAGAAGTTGACGGCCATGGGCGCTCCAGCTATGGGCTCCAGCACCAGCCTGGCCACGCCAGGGCTGCCATCTGGGGCCGGGCACCGGCGGATGGTGCAGTGCAGGGGCAGGATGTCAGGGGCTACCAGGCTGATGCTTGGCTTGCTGGAGGGCGTGCGCTGGCCCACTGTGTGCCGCTCCTGGTTGAGCACATACACCAGGCTGTCCTAAAAGCAGAAGCACTACTCAGGGGAGATGCCACCACAGTGACACCACACAGGTGAGGACAGGATAGAATAGGTGTCCCACTCTGCAGCTGGGACTGCTGTCTGAGGCCAACAGCAGCCCTAAGCCACTCTCGACAGGCCCAGGTGAGGTCGAGGTCTGAGGTCACCCACACAGAGTGTGCAGGCCTCATGTTCACCCCCCAGCTAGCACAGGTGTCTCCTGAGACTAGAGCCCAGCAGCCTCAGGAAAGCGGGCACCCAGTGGAGTAAGAAAGGACGAAGGGAGAAGGGGACAAGGTTGGAGAGCAAGAGACACCGCAGCACTGCCACACCGCAGGAGGTGGGTAAGGCCAGCTCCTTCAAGCCCAGGCCCAAGACAGAGTGGCAAAAAATGGCTCTGGGTGGCAGGGGCAGTGTGGCCTTACCCAGAAAACTGTAACCACCAAGCAGTGGTTGGCACCATCACTAGGACAAGGAGAAGGCTGGCCCGTCCCTTGCCCTGGGCACCTGCCCGTGCCCTTTCCAGAAACCATGAGAAGCAGTATGAGAAGGGTGGAGAGCCCTCTACAAGGGCCTAGACCCAGTCATTGCCCCTCTCCTGCTGCCCCTGTCCCACCCCCACTTCCTCCTCCCAGCCACACAGGGGTGCAATAGGCCACGTTCCGGGTCCTTGGGTGGCTCACGTGTTGCTGGCTGTAGCCCTGCAGGAGCAGCAGGTGTGGGGCCTGGAACAGGGAGCAGCGCATGGCGTCCCGGGCCGGTTCTTCAGGGCCCTGGGCAGCCTCGGGCGGGGCAGTGGCCGGACTCAGGCTGGTCTCGCTGACCGTGCGACGCAGTCGGGGTGGAGGGGAGCTGCAGGCAGCACCTGGGGCCAGGCCTGAAGTTCCCTTGGCGCGGATCCGCTGCAGCCTCCGGGCTTGGGCGTTTATCCCTGAAATAGGATTAGCCCAGGTACAGGACCAGAGGTCTGACTGTGGCCATCTCCTGGGTCCTGCTGGACTCAAGTCTCACTAAGCCACCTCTGATGCCTGTCATTGCTCTGTCAAAGCAGGTCTGGAGGACAAGAGCTCTGCCTACTGGCCATGCCTTTTTTTTTTTTTTTTTTGGTTTTGTGGGTTTTTTTGGTGCCAGGGATCAAACTTGGGACCCTGCGCTTGCGAGGCAGGCGGCAGAACCACTGAGCTAAATCCCTGGCCCCCAATGCCCTTTGAAAGGGGAGGCAGCACCTTGGCACTGCTGAGGCACCCCAGAAAAGCTGCTCCCAGGGCAGCCACAGAGCAGGCAGCCCAAATGTCACATCCTGTGACTCAGATGGGACTATACCTGCCCTACAGGAGCCCGATGACACTCCTCAGCTTGCACCATGGCCCTGGGCACCAAACCCATCAAACAGTCTCCCCTCTGCAGCATCGGCCCTGCCAGGTCACCATGCCACCCAAGAGCCTGTCCATCGGTCTGTGTGGTCCTCCTGGCCCACCTGTGTGCCAGGCTCAGATTCCCCAGATAGCAGTGCGCTGACTAGACGAGATGGAGCTAATTGGTCACTGTTCTCCCTCACTTTAAAAGGAGAACCCAGTCAACTTCAGGTGTCACTGTGCTGGTCAGCTTCTGTGACAGCATAGCCGCCACCTCCCCACGACCACCTTGGACACGGTCAAACCAGAGCAGGCACACACCAATGCACACACACAAATGCACCCACACATAAACGTACACATGCACACACAAACACTGCACTGGACATGCACAACATTCAGACACACAAACATAAACACATGTACACTCATACATACAGCAGGGAATAACACACACCCCAAAAAAGCCTTAAAATCTCATGCTCACAAATGCAGGAAGCGCTCTCTAAACTGCAGCTGCTAGGAAAGCTGACAGGCAGGATGGATGGAAGCCCAGAGACCATTCACTGCTCCCAGCTGACCCCGGTGCTTTCTTCCCTGAACACTCTGCCGAGTCCCCTCCATGCAGCCTTGTCTCCATCTGTGGCATCCTGTCCTCCAGCCATTCCAAACAAAACCAGACAAAAGCCAGAAAGGAGGCCAATGTGCAGCCAAGAGAGCTGCTTTACTGGAGCTGAAGCCTCAGATGAGCTCTGCCCTTCCCTGCAGAAGGCTGAGCCGCCTGCGCATCTGCAGCCCGCAGGGGGCTGGGGCTGCAGGAGGAGCCGGCCACAGTGCCAGGCTGGAAATGCTCCTGCAGAAGTCCTGCAGCCACCTTGAGCCTGCTCCTCTAGGCAGGGACCACACTCACATCAGATGACTCCTCCAGGGCCTGCCTGTAGGTCAGAGCCAAGGCCAATGGCAGGGCCACTCCCAGACCCCCTTCCTTGTTTTGGGTGGGCTCCTATGAATAGGAGCTGGAAGGCCAGACCTTTGCTTGGGACCATGGCAGCATTGTCCACTGGCAACACCAGCACTGCCAGTGTGCCCCAGGTAGCATGGACATCCACCTGACCTCACCTCCTTCCTCCTCCTCTGTTATGGTTTATATCTAGATGTCCCCCCAAAGCCTCATCACTCATAGATGCGGCTTCTGGGAGGTGGCTGGATCATGGGTGTGTGATACTGTATATGGGTGTGATAGATACTGTATTAGTCCACAATTGGTTTAGCATAGTTCTGGCTATGGACAATGGGAAGGGCCATCCTGGGTATGGGTGCTACCAACCAATAGGCTTGTAGCCTGGGAAAGGAAAAGGAAGGCTCTCTACTTCCTGCTTGTCTGCCCTGCCATGAACTGTTTCTCCTCTGCTATGTCCCTCTGCCATGCTGCCCTGCCTTGGAGCCAGCTAATTCTGGACTGAAACCTCTACAAGTTGTGAGCCAAAATAAACCTTTCTTCCTTCAACTTGTGAGTGCTGGGTATTTTGTTCCAGCAACAAGGAGGTAACTAAGACATCCTCCCTTTCCTGCTGTGGGTCAGCCAAGAGGACACACATGCATGCGATGACCCTATATCAGGACACCCCACAGAACTGCTGCCCAAACAGCCCTTCCCAGGAGCACCAGGGTAAGGGATACAGACTCTGAGCAAAGGGCAAGAGAGACACAAGATCCACACCCTGGTTTACAGGCTTAAAAGCACTGAGATACCAGGTCTTGGTTCATATGGAGGTGTATAAAACACCTTTTTTTTTTTTCTGTAGTGCCAGGGACTGAACCAGGATCCCATTCGCACTACACAGCACTCTACCACTGAGCTATTTCTCCAGCCCTTCTTATTTTATTTTGAGACAGGATCTCATTAAATTGCCTGGGTTAGCCTGAATTTGTTGTTGTTGTTTTTTGGTACCAGGGATCAAACTCGGGACCTTGCACTTGTGCGGAAGGCAGCAGAACCACTAAGCTAAATCCCCGGCCCTACTAGCCTGAATTTGTGGTCCTCCTGCCTCAGCCTCTTGAGTAGCTGAGAGTACAGGTGTGTGCCACCATGCCCAATGACACATTGGGGTCCAGTCACATCCCATCTGAAGACACAGCTAGGGACCTTGGCTGTTTCAACTCAAGGACCTACTTGCTCCTCGATATTTGTTAATGCATGCACCTAGGAGAAAAATGGACACTCTCCAATATTCTAAAAACAGTGCAGCCAGGACAGGCCCAAGATGGCCCCACAGGCATCCTAAAGACAGGCCTTGGGAGGAAATGTCTGACGTGGAAGTCAAAAGGGAGACAGTGACAGTCCCAGAGTCCTGGATGCTCCCCCTAGCCTCGCCACCTACCCAGGCCAAGTCTCCGAGGGGCAGCAATCCTAATGATCTCAATTACCCACAGACACTCCTGGATGACACTGTAGGCCACACATCTCTTTCCTGTATCCCCTTCCTGTCACCTCTATAGAGCCCCTATGTGGACTGGGAGGAGGCAATGTTAATTTTGACAAGAGCTCCTAATGGACACCAGAGCTGCTACTGCAGCTCTGCTCTGGCTCAGACAGCCCTGGAAAGAAAAACAGTGCTCTTCCTGTGCGTCATCAGGTTCCTCCATAAAGTCACCCTGCAGGCTTCCCCTCCGGCCCTGTTTTCTCTTCCCTCCCTGACTCTGGGAAGCACATCTGTGCCACTCCTCCCAGCTGGCGGCCCCAGAGACAGGATCCTGACTGGAGACAGGTGGCCATCACAGTGTCCTGCGCGGAGGAGTTGTGAACCTGTGCAGTTGGGCCAATTTTACAATGATTCCTAGTAACAGGTGGGAATATAATGCTAAAATAAACTCTCAGTAGCTGCTGCAAATTTAGAGGTCAGACTTGCCTTCAACAAGTCACTTTTTTGCTAGAATACTCTTTTCTAAGTCAGCAAAGGGGCTGTGCACAGTGGTACACATCTGTAATCCCAGCACACAGGGAGACTAAGGCAAGAGGATCACAAGTTCCAGCCCAGTTTGGGCAAATTAGCAACTTGGCAAGACCCTGCTCAGAATAAAAAAGGGGTGGGGAAGTAGCTCGGTGCAAAGGCCCTGGGCTTAATCCCCAGTACGGGGCGGGGTGGGGTGGGGGGTGGGGGGTGGCTAAGTCATGGAGCTCCACCAATCAACCAATCTGTGGTGTGAAAACATCCAAAATGTACAAAACAGAAGTAAATACCTGAGGATAAGTGGGGAACACCTCCCTTATTCTCAGCATTTCAAATTTAAATCCATTTCGCTCTTAATAATAAACCCTAAGAAGGCAATGGGGCTGGATGGACAAGTAGCCCAGCCTCCTGCAACCAAACTGACAACTGGAGCAAACTCTAAAGTTCTGAAGAAGACACACATGCAGGTCCTAATCAGTTGTTCTTCCTGGTATGCCAAGACTGAAACTGACTAAATGTCATACATAATATTATAGGTCAGTGCCAAAGAACCAGGGATTAGGCCAAATAGGCAGGAACTTCTCATCCCCAATAAATTGAAGAGGTAGGACCTTGCAACAGACTCAAACCCCAAATCCCAGCTACATCTGGAAGACATCACTGAGAAATAGTCATTTCCTAAGGGTTCTAAATATTAGCAATAAAGGAACATACTATTAGCAATTTAAAAGCATCAACCAAGGAATTAAATTTTTTTTTAAAAAAAAAGAAAGAAAATGAGAAGACACTTAAACAAGATGCAACCCCAAACTTCCAACTTACCAAAGGCAAACCCAGGGAAAAATGAGTTGGAACAATTCAAAAGCCACCCACCTAGACTCTCTGAAGTGGCAACAGTAGAAGTAACAAAGCAGATGAATGAAGCTCTAGAAAAAAATCAAATCAGAAATAATTTCTCAGATAACTATAGAGATGGTGATGATAATGAAAGACACGCTCAGTGACTCTAGAGCAGATACAGATAAAAAAAATAGAGGAGCTTTGGAAAATGATGGACACCATGAATGCCCAACATAGCAAAAAAATAGAATCCATGAAACATTCAAACAGATATCGAGGAGATTAAAAATTTCATTGAAAGTATACTCTGCAGACTAAGAGAATGATACAAAAACTTAATAAAGCCAAGAGTTGGTTCTCCGAAAGAATCAACAAAATTGACAAACCCTTAGCCAACCTTATCAGAAAAAGGAAAGAAAAGGCTCAAATCCATGCAATTAGGAATGAAAAGGGTGAAATTACAACAGACCCAGCAGAAATCCAGAGGATCATCAATATCTACT